CGGGGCCTAAGTACGAGGGGGCGTGGCCTGTTGGGAAGGGGGCGTGGCCTCCATGGGAAGGGGGCGTGGTCTGTGGGGAGTGGACAGGGCCTAAGTATGAGGGGGCGTGGCCTGTGGGGAAGGGGCGTGGCTTGTACCGGGAGGGGGCGTGGCCTGTGCTGGAGGGGGTGTGGCCTCCGGGGAAGGGGCGGGGCCTAAATATGAGGGGGCGTGGCTTGTGCCGGGAGGGGGCGTGGCCTATATCGGAGGGGGCGTGGCCTGTGGGGAAGGGGGCGTGGTCTGCGTCGGGAGGGGGCGTGGCCTGTGCCGGAGGTGTGGTCACTTTGGGGTGTTTTGATGCCACTTAGACCCCCTCCAGCCGCCATCTTGGATCCCCTCAGCCACCATCCTGCCCCCCCCACTCCCAATTTCTCCTCTTTTTACCCCATTTTAAGCCCCCAAAACCCAAACTTTTTGCCCAAACCCCCTTTTTCTCCCCATTTTGACCCAAAACCCACCGATTTTTGTTCACTTTTGGGGTGTTTCGATGCCATTTTAACCCCCTCCAGCCGCCATCTTGGATCCCCTCAGCCACCATCCTGCCCCCCCCACTCCCAATTTCTTCCCTTTTTACCCCATTTTAAGCCCCCAAACCCCCACTGAGTTTTTTTAATGGGGGGGTGGGGGAGGGGCAAAAAATCCCCACCCCTAAAAAAGCTTGAATAAATTAAAAAAAAAATGTAGGAAATTTAGAAAAAAAAAAATCGATTTTTATTTTAATTTATTTGAACCGCGCCGGGGGGGGGGGGGGGGGGGGGAGGGGTTGAGACCGGGCGTGGCCTATGCCGGGAGGGGGCGTGGCTTGTGGGGAAGGGGGCGTGGCCTCCGGGGAAGGGGCGTGGCCTAAGTACGAGGGGGCGTGGCCTGTGCCGGAGGGGGGCGTGGTCTGAGGGGAAGGGGGCGTGGCCTGTGGGGAAGGGGCGGGGCCTAAGTACGAGGGGGCGTGGCCTGTGCCGGAGGGGGGCGTGGTCTGAGGGGAAGGGGGGCGTGGCCTGTGAGGAAGGGGGCGTGGCTTGTGCCGAGAGGGGGCGTGGCCTCCGTGGGAAGGGGCGTGGTCTGTGGAGAAGGGGGCGTGGCCTCCGGAGAAGGGGCGGGGCCTAAGTATGAGGGGGCGTGGCTTGTGCCGGGAGGGGGCGTGGCCTGTGTCAAAGGGGGCGTGGCCTCCGGGGAAGGGGCGGGGCCTAAGTATGAGGGGGCGTGGCCTGCGGGGAAGGGGGCGTGGCTTGTGCCGGGAGGGGGCGGGGCCTAAGTGTGAGGGGGCGTGGCCTGTGTCGAAGGGGGCGTGTCCTCCGGAGAAGGGGCGGGGCCTAAGTATGAGGGGGCGTGGCTTGTGTCGGGAGGGGGCGGGGCCTGTCGGGAAGGGGGCGTGGCTTGTACCGGGAGGGGGCGTGGCCTGTGCCGGAGGTGTGGTCACTTTGGGGTGTTCTGATGCCACTTAGAGCCCCTCCAGCCGCCATCTTGGATCCCCTCAGCCACCATCCTGCCCCCCCCCCCCACTCCCAATTTCTCCCCTTTTCACCCCATTTTAAGCCCCCAAAACCCAAACTTTTGGCCCCATTTTCACCAAACCCCCTTTTTCTCCCCATTTTGACCAAAAAACCCACCGATTTTGGGTCACTTTGGGGTGTTTCGATGCCATTTTAACCCCCTCCAGCCGCCATCTTGCCCCCATCCCCGGCGGCCATCTTGGATCCCCTCAGCCCCCATCCTGCCCCCCCCACTCCCAATTTCTCCCCTTTTCACCCCATTTTAAGCCCCCAAACCCCCACTGAGTTTTTTTAATGGGGGGTGGGGGAGGGGCAAAAAATCCCCACCCCCAAAAAAGCTTGAATAAATTAAAAAAAAATGTAGGAAATTTAGAAAAAAAAAATCGATTTTTATTTTAATTTATTTGAACCGCGCCGGGGGGGGGGGGAGGGGGAGGGGTTGAGCCCGGCCCCTCCCCCCACTCCCATCTCGCCCCTCCCCCATTGCAGTGGATGTATGGGGGCACCTCCCCCTTCACAGCAGCGCATCAGTGGGGGGATGGGCTCTGTGCGTGTCTATGGGGTGGGGGATGGGTGGGCCCCATTGCTTGTGGGGCAAGATGGGGGATGGGCCCCTCGTCTCTCTATGGGGCACAGTTGGGGGGATGGGGCATACAGAGGTAGGGTACGGGTGGGGGTTGGGCCCCATAGATCTCAATGGGGCAGAGGTTGGGGGGCAGGGCCCCATAGATCTCAATGGGGTGGGAGCCGGGCCCCATAGGTCTCAATGGGGCAGAGGTTGGGGGGCAGGGCCCCACAGGTCTCAATGGGGTGGGGGCTGGGCCCCATAGATCTCAATGGGGCAGAGGTTGGGGGGCAGGGCCCCATAGCTATCAATGGGGCAGAGGTTGGGGGGCAGGGCCCCATAGGTCTCAATGGGGCAGAGGTTGGGGGGCAGGGCCCCATAGGTCTCAATGGGGTTTTGGCTGGGCCCCACAGGTCGCAATGGGGCAGGGGTTGGGGGACAGGGCCCACAGGTCTCAATGGGGTGGGGGCTGGGCCCCATAGGTCTCAATGGGGCAGGGGTTGTGGGGCAGGGCCCCATAGGTCTCAATGGGGCAGAGGTTGGGGGGCAGGGCCCCACAGGTCTCAATGGGGCAGAGGTTGGGGGGCAGGGCCCCATAGGTCGCAATGGGGCAGAGGTTGGGGGGCAGGGCCCCATAGGTCTCAATGGGGCAGAGGTTGGGGGGCAGGGCCCCTTAGGTCTCAATGGGGCAGAGGTTGGGGGGCAGGGCCCCATAGGTCTCAATGGGGTTTTGGCTGGGCCCCACAGGTCGCAATGGGGCAGGGGTTGGGGGGCAGGGCCCCATAGGTTTCAATGGGGCAGAGGTTGGGGGGCAGGGCCCCATAGATCTCAATGGGGTGGGAGCCGGGCCCCACAGGTCTCAATGGGGCAGAGGTTGGGGGGCAGGGCCCCATAGATCTCAATGGGGCAGAGGTTGGGGGGCAGGGCCCCATAGGTCGCAATGGGGCAGAGGTTGGGGGGCAGGGCCCCACAGGTCGCAATGGGGCAGAGGTTGTGGGGCAGGGCCCCATAGGTCTCAATGGGGCAGAGGTTGGGGGGCAGGGCCCCATAGGTCTCAATGGGGTTTTGGATGGGCCCCACAGGTCTCAATGGGGCAGAGGTTGGGGGGCAGGGCCCCATAGGTCTCAATGGGGCGGAGGTTGTGGGGCAGGGCCCCAGAGGTCTCAATGGGGCAGAGGTTGGGGGGCAGGGCCCCACAGGTCTCAATGGGGCAGAGGTTGGGGGGCAGGGCCCCATAGGTCTCAATGGGGCAGAGGTTGGGGGGCAGGGCCCCATAAGTCTCAATGGGGTGGGAGCCGGGCCCCATAGGTCTCAATGGGGCAGAGATTGGGGGTCAGGGCCCCACAGGTCTCAATGGGGCAGAGGTTGGGGGGCAGGGCCCCACAGGTCTCAATGGGGCAGAGGTTGGGGGGCAGGGCCCCATAGATCTCAATGGGGCAGGGGTTGGGGGGCAGGGCCCCACAGGTCTCAATGGGGCAGGGGTTGTGGGGCAGGGCCCCATAGGTTTCAATGGGGCGGGGGTTGGGGGGCAGGGCCCCACAGGTCTCAATGGGGCAGAGGGTGGGGGGCAGGGCCCCACAGGTCTCAATGGGGTTTTGGCTGGGCCCCATAGGTCTCAGTGGGGCGGGGGTTGGGGGGCAGGGCCCCATAGGTCTCAATGGGGCAGAGGTTGTGGGGCAGGGCCCCACAGGTCTCAATGGGGCAGGGGTTGGGGGGCAGGGCCCACAGGTCTCAATGGGGTGGGAGCTGGGCCCCATAGGTCTCAATGGGGCAGAGGTTGGGGGGCAGGGCCCCATAGATCTCAATGGGGCAGAGGTTGGGGGGCAGGGCCCCATAGGTTTCAATGGAGCAGAGGTTGGGGGGCAGGGCCCCATAGATCTCAATGGGGTGGGAGCCGGGCCCCATAGGTCTCAATGGGGCAGAGGTTGGGGGGCAGGGCCCCATAGGTCTCAATGGGGTGGGAGCCGGGCCCCATAGGTCTCAGTGGGGCAGAGGTTGGGGGGCAGGGCCCCATAGGTCGCAATGGGGCAGAGGTTGTGGGGCAGGGCCCCATAGGTCGCAATGGGGCAGAGGTTGGGGGGCAGGGCCCCATAGGTCGCAATGGGGCAGAGGTTGGGGGGCAGGGCCCCATAGGTCTCAATGGGGCAGAGGTTGTGGGGCAGGGCCCCATAGGTTTCAATGGGGTGGGAGCCGGGCCCCATAGGTCGCAATGGGGCAGGGGTTGGGGGGCAGGGCCCCATAGGTTTCAATGGGGTGGGAGCCGGGCCCCATAGGTTTCAATGGGGCAGAGGTTGGGGGGCAGGGCCCCATAGGTTTCAATGGGGCGGAGGTTGGGGGGCAGGGCCCCATAGGTCTCAATGGGGCAGGGGTTGGGGGGCAGGGCCCCATAGGTCTCAATGGGGCGGGGGTTGGGGGGCAGGGCCCCATAGGTCTCAATGGGGCAGAGGTTGTGGGGCAGGGCCCCATAGATCTCAATGGGGCAGAGGTTGGGGGGCAGGGCCCCATAGGTTTCAATGGGGCAGAGGTTGGGGGGCAGGGCCCCATAGGTCTCAATGGGGTGGGAGCCGGGCCCCATAGGTCGCAATGGGGCAGAGGTTGGGGGGCAGGGCCCCATAGGTTTCAATGGGGCAGAGGTTGGGGGGCAGGGCCCCATAGGTTTCAATGGGGCGGAGGTTGGGGGGCAGGGCCCCATAGGTTTCAATGGGGCGGAGGTTGGGGGGCAGGGCCCCATAGATCTCAATGGGGTTTTGGCTGGGCCCCACAGGTCGCAATGGGGCAGGGGTTGGGGGGCAGGGCCCCCGCTACCCCCAGTTGAGCTCCAGGTCCTCGCGGTTGGGGGGCAGGGCGCGGGTGACGACGCCGGTGCCAATGGTGCGGGCGCCGTCGCGGAGGGTGAATCTCTGCCCCACCTCGAGCACCATTGGCTGGCGCAGCAGCAGCGTCAGCGCCGCGTCCTCCCCCGGCAGCACCAGCTCCTGGTTGGGGGGCAGGGGAGGGGGGGGGTTATGGGGCAGAGCTGTGGGGCTGGGATGTGGGGCTGGGATGTGGGGTTGTGGGGTTGGGTTATGGGGCAGAGCTGTGGGGCTGGGATGTGGGGTTATGGGGTAGAGCTGTGGAGCTGGGATGTGGGACTGGGATGTGGGGCAGGGTTATGGGGCAGAGCTGTGGGGCTGGGATGTGGGGTTGTGGGGCTGGGATGTGGGGCTGGGATGTGGGGCTGGGATGTGGGGTTGTGGGGCTGGGTTATGGGGCAGAGCTGTGGGGCTGGGATGTGGGGCTGGGATGTGGGGCTGGGTTATGGGGCAGAGCTGTGGGGCTGGGATGTGGGGTTGTGGGGTTGGGATGTGGGGTTGTGGGGCAGGGTTATGGCGCAGAGCTGTGGGGCTGGGATGTGGGGTTGTGGGGCTGGGATGTGGGGTTGTGGGGCTGGGATGTGGGGTTGTGGGGCAGGGTTATGGGGCAGAGCTGTGGGGCTGGGATGTGGGGCTGGGTTATGGGGTTGTGGGGCAGGGTTATGGGGCAGAGCTGTGGGGCTGGGATGTGGGGCAGAGCTGTGGGGCTGAGCTGTGGGGCTGGGATGTGGGGCTGGGATGTGGGGCCGGGTTATGGGGCTGGGATGTGGGGTTGTGGGGCTGGGATGTGGGGCTGGGTTATGGGGCAGAGCTGTGGGGCTGGGATGTGGGGTTGGGTTATGGGGTAGAGCTGTGGGGCTGGGATGTGGGGCTGGGTTATGGGGCAGAACTGTGGGGCTGGGATATGGGGCTGGGTTATGGGGCAGAGCTGTGGGGCTGGGATGTGGGGCTGGGATGTGGGGTTGTGGGGCTGGGATGTGGGGCAGGGTTATGGGGCAGAGCTGTGGGGCTGGGATGTGGGGCTGGGATGTGGGGTTGTGGGGTTGGGTTATGGGGTAGAGCTGTGGGGCTGGGATGTGGGGCTGGGTTATAGGGCAGAGCTGTGGGGCTGGGATGTGGGGCTGGGTTATAGGGCAGAGCTGTGGGGCTGGGATGTGGGGCTGGGTTATAGGGCAGAGCTGTGGGGCTGGGATGTGGGGCAGGGTTATGGGGCAGAGCTGTGGGGCTGGGATGTGGGGTTGTGACCTCCTGTGAAAAGTGGCAGAGCTGTGGGGCTGGGATGTGGGGCTGGGTTATGGGGCAGAGCTGTGGGGCTGGGATGTGGGGCTGGGTTATGGGGCAGAGCTGTGGGGCTGGGATGTGGGGCTGGGATGTGGGGTTGTGGGGCTGGGATGTGGGGCTGGGTTATGGGGCAGAGCTGTGGGGCTGGGATGTGGGGCTGGGTTATGGGGCAGAGCTGTGGGGCTGGGATGTGGGGTTGTGGGGTTGGGATGCGGGGTTGTGGGGCTGGGATGTGGGGTTGGGTTATGGGGTGAGCTGTGGGGCTGGGTTATGGGATGTGGGGCTATGGGGCTGGGTTATGGGGTGCTATGGGGCTGGGATGTGGGGTGCTATGGGGCTGGGTTATGGGGTGCTATGGGGCTGGGATGGGGTGCTATGGGGCTGGGATGTGGGGTTATGGGGCTGGGTTATGGGGTAGTGGGGCTGCTATGGGGCTGGGTTATGGGGTGTGGGGTTGGGTTATGGGGCTGTGGGGCTGGGTTATGGGGGCTATGGGTTATGGGTTATGGGGTGTGGGGCTGGGTTATGGGGTGCTATGGGGCTGGGTTATGGGCGCTATGGGGCTGGGTTATGGGGTGCTATGGGGCTGGGTTATGGGGTGCTATGGGGCTGGGTTATGGGGTGCTGTGGGGATGGTTATGGGGCGCTATGGGGCTGGCTTATGGGGTGCTATGGGGCTGGGTTATGGGGTGCTATGGGGCTGGGTTATGGGGTGCTATGGGGCAGGGTTATGGGGTGCTATGGGGATGGGTTATGGGGTGCTATGGGGCTGGGTTATGGGGCAGGGTTATGGGGTGCTATGGGGCTGGGTTATGGGGTGCTATGGGGCTGGGTTATGTGGGGCTGGGTTATGGGGCGCTATGGGGCAGGGTTATGGGGTGCTATGGGGCTGGGTTATGGGGTGCTATGGGGCTGGGTTATGGGGCGCTATGGGGCTGGGTTATGGGGTGCTATGGGGCTGGGTTATGGGGTGCTATGGGGCTGGGTTATGGGGTGCTATTGGGCTCTATGGGGTTGGTTATGGGGTGCTATGGGGCTGGGTTATGGGGTGCTATGGGGTGCTATGGGGTTGGTTATGGGGCTGGTTTTGGGGTGCTATGGGGCTGGGTTATGGGGTGCTATGGGGCACTATGGGGCTGGGTTATGGGGTGCTATGGGGCTGGGTTATGGGGTGCTATGGGGGGGCTATGGGGTGCTATGGGGCTGGGTTATGGGGTGCTATGGGGCTGGGTTATGGGGTGCTATGGGGCTGGGTTATGGGGGCTGGGTTATGGGGCGCTATGGGGCTGGGTTATGGGGTGCTATGGGGCTGGGTTATGGGGTGCTATGGGGATGGGTTATGGGGTGCTATGGGGCTGGGTTATGGGGTGCTATGGGGCTGGGTTATGGGGTGCTATGGGGATGGGTTATGGGGTGCTATGGGGCAGGGTTATGGGGTGCTATGGGGCTGGGTTATGGGGTGCTATGGGGATGGGTTATGGGGTGCTATGGGGCTGGGTTATGGGGCGCTATGGGGCAGGGTTATGGGGCGGAGCTATGGGGCTGGGTTATGTGGGGCTGGGATGTGGGGTGCTTGTGGGGTTGGGTTATGGGGTGCTATGGGGCTGGGTTATGGGGTGCTATGGGGCTGGGTTATGGGGTGCTATTGGGCTCTATGGGGTTGGTTATGGGGTGCTATGGGGCTGGTTATGGGGTGCTATGAGGAGCTATGGGACTGGGTTACGTGGTGCTATTGGGTGCTATGGGGTTGGTTATGGGGCACTATGGGGCTGGTTATGGGGTGCTATGGGGTGCTATGGGGCTGGGTTATGGGGTGCTATGGGGATGGGTTATGGGGTGCTATGGGGCTGGGTTATGGGGTGCTATGGGGCTGGGTTATGGGGTGCTATGGGGCTGGGTTATGGGGTGCTATGGGGCTGGGTTATGGGGTGCTATGGGGCTGGGTTATGGGGTGCTATGGGGCTGGGTTATGGGGCGCTATGGGGCTGGGTTATGGGGTGCTATGGGGCAGGGTTATGGGGTGCTATGGGGCTGGGTTATGGGGTGCTATGGGGGGGTTATGGGGCTGGGATGTGGGGTGCTATGGGGTTGGGTTATGGGGTAGGGTTATGGGGCTGGGTTATGTGGGGCTGGGTTATGGGGTGCTAGAGGGTTATGGGGCTGGGTTATGTGGGGCTGGGTTATAGGGCAGAGCTGTGGGGCTGGGATGTGGGGCAGGGTTATGGGGCAGAGCTGTGGGGCTGGGATGTGGGGTTGTGGGGTTGGGTTATGGGGTAGAGCTGTGGGGCTGGGATGTGGGGCTGGGTTATGGGGCAGAGCTGTGGGGCTGGGATGTGGGGCTGGGTTATGGGGCAGAGCTGTGGGGCTGGGATGTGGGGCTTGGGATGTGGGGCTGGGTTATGGGGCAGAGCTGTGGGGCTGGGATGTGGGGCTGGGTTATGGGGCAGAGCTGTGGGGCTGGGATGTGGGGCTGGGATGTGGGGTTGTGGGGCTGGGATGTGGGGCTGGGATGTGGGGTTGTGAGGCAGGGTTATGGGGCAGAGCTGTGGGGCTGGGATGTGGGGCTGGGATGTGGGGCTGGGTTATGAGGCAGAGCTGTGGGGTTGTGGGGCTGGGATATGGGCCTGGGTTATGGGGCTGTGATGTGGGGCTGGGTTATGGGGCAGAGCCATGGGGCGGGGTTGTGGGACTAGGTTGTGGAATCATGGGGCTGGGCTATGGGGCAGAGCCGGGGGGCAGGGTGTGTGGGGCAGGAGGTGTGGGGCTGCCCCATAGCTCACCTTGTTGGGGGGCAGGGTATGTGGGGCAGGATGTGTGGGGCTGCCCCATAGCTCACCTTGTTGGGGGGCAGGATGTGTGGGGCAGGATGTGTGGGGCAGGGCGTGTGGGGCAGGGCGTGTGGGGCTGCCCCATAGCTCACCTTGTTGGGGGGCAGGGTATGTGGGGCAGGACGTGTGGGGCAGGATGTGGGGGGCAGGGTATGTGGGGCAGGACGTGTGGGGCAGGATGTGTGGGGCTGCCCCATAGCTCACCTTGTGGGGGGGCAGGGTATGTGGGGCAGGATGTGTGGGGCTGCCCCATAGCTCACCTTGTTGGGGCAGGGTATGCGGGGCAGGGTATGTGGGGCAGGATGTGTGGGGCTGCCCCATAGCTCACCTTGTTGTGGGGCAGGGTATTTGGGGCAGGGTATGTGGGGCAGGATGTGTGGGGCAGGGTATGTGGGGCAGGATGTGTGGGGCTGCCCCATAGCTCACCTTGTTGGGGGGCAGGGTATGTGGGGCAGGGTATGTGGGGCAGGACATGTGGGGCTGCCCCATAGCTCACCTTGTTGGGGGGCAGGATGACGCGGCAGGCGATGTCCCACGTCTGCGAGAACATCACTGGGGTGTAATGGGCCGCGAAGGGCTTGTGGCGGCCCCCCTCCTGCGGGCTCAGGATGTAAACCTATGGGGAGATGTGGGGCTGACCCATAACCGGCCCCATTGCTGCCCCACAACTAAGCCCCATACCCACCCCATTGCTGCCCCATCGCTCAGCTCCATACCCACCCCATACCCAGCCCCATTGCTGCCCCATAAGTAAGCCCCATACCCACCCCGTACCCAGCCCCATTTCTGTCCCATACCCACCCCATAGCCAACCCCATTGCTGCCTCATCCCGACCCCATCCCCAGCCCCATTGCTGCCCCATAACTCAGCTCTATACCCACCCCATCCCCACCCCATTGCTGCCCTATGCCCAGCCCCACAGCTGCCCCATACCAACCCCATAGCCTGCCCCATACCAAGCCCCATACCAACCCCATTGCTGCCCCATAACTCAGCTCTATACCCACCCCATCCCCACCCCATTGCTGCCCCATCCCCACCCCATAGCCTGCCCCATACCCAGCCCCATTGCTGCCCCATACCAACCCCATGCCCAGCCCCACAGCTGCCCCATAACTCAGCTCTATACCCACCCCATCCCCACCCCACAGCCTGCCCCATACCCACCCCATAGCCTGCCCCATCCCCACCCCATACCCACCCCATAGCCTGCCCCATAGCCAGCCCCACAGCTGCCCCATAGCCTGCCCCACAGCCTGCCCCATAGCAGCCCCTTTACCTGGGCCTCCAGCCTCTGGTGTGTGCTCAGGCTCCCCGGCTGCCCCACAACCATGCCCCATCCACACCCCATACCCACCCCATACCCACCCCATGCCCAGCCCCACAGCCTGCCCCATAGCCTGCCCCATAGCCAGCCCCACAGCTGCCCCACAGCCTGCCCCATAGCAGCCCCCTTTACCTGGGCCTCCACCCTCTGGTGGGTGCTCAGGCTCCCCGGCTGCCCCACAACCATGCCCCATCCCCACCCCATAGCTGCCCCATACCCAGCCCCATGCCCACCCCATGCCAGCCCCCCCACATAGCCTGCCCCATACCCAGCCTGCCCCATACCCACCCCATAGCCAGCCCCACAGCTGCCCCATAGCAGCCCCCTTTACCTGGGCCTCCACCCTCTGGTGGGTGCTCAGGCTCCCCGGCTGCCCCACAACCATGCCCCATCCCCACCCCATAGCTGCCCCATACCCAGCCCCATGCCCACCCCATAGCCAGCCCCATACCCACCCCATAGCCTGCCCCATACCCACCCCATGCCCACCCCATAGCCTGCCCCATACCCACCCCATAGCCAGCCCCAGCCTGCCCCATACCCACCCCATTGCTGCCCCATAGCACCCCATTCCTGCCCCATTGCTGCCCCATAGCACCCCCCTTTACCTGGGCCTCCACCCTCTGGTGCGTGCTCGCTCCCCGGCTGCCCCACAACCATTGCCCACCCCATGGCCCCACAGCTGCCCCCAGCCTCCACCATCTGGGCCTCCACCCTCTGGTGTGTGCTCAGGCTCCCCGGCTGCCCCACAACCATGCCCCATCCACACCCCATACCCACCCCATACCCCCCATGCCCAGCCCCATGCCTGCCCCATAGCCTGCCCCATAGCCAGCCCCACACCCCACAGCCTGCCCCATAGCCCCCACCTGGGCCTCCATGGGCCTCAGGCTCCCCGGCCCCACCAGCCCCATCCCCACCCCATAGCTGCCCCATACCCACCCCATACCCACCCCATAGCCAGCCCCATACCCACCCCATAGCCTGCCCCATACCCACCCCATGCCCACCCCATAGCCTGCCCCATACCCAGCCCCATACCCACCCCATGCCCACCCCATAGCCTGCCCCATAGCCGCCCCCTTTACCTGGGCCTCCACCCTCTGGTGGGTGCTCAGGCTCCCCGGCTGCCCCACAACCATGCCCCATCCCCACCCCACAGCTGCCCCATACCCACCCCATAGCCTGCCCCATAGCTGCCCCATAACTCAGCTCTATACCCACCCCACAGCCGCCCCATACCCACCCCATTGCTGCCCCATAGCCTGCCCCATTGCTGCCCCATAGCAGCCCCCTTTACCTGGGCCTCCACCCTCTGGTGCGTGCTCAGGCTCCCCGGCTGCCCCACAACCATTCCCCATGCCCACCCCATAGCCTGCCCCATACCCACCCCACAGCCTGCCCCATAGCAGCCCCCTTTACCTGGGCCTCCACCCTCTGGTGTGTGCTCAGGCTCCCCGGCTGCCCCACAACCATGCCCCATGCCCACCCCATACCCAGCCCCATGCCCACCCCATAGCCAGCCCCACAGCTGCCCCACAGCCTGCCCCATAGCCAGCCCCACAGCCTGCCCCATAGCCGCCCCCTTTACCTGGGCCTCCACCCTCTGGTGCGTGCTCAGGCTCCCCGGCTGCCCCACAACCATGCCCCTCCGCAGCTCCTCCCGCCGCAGCCCCCGCAGCAGCGCCCCCAGGTTGTCCCCGGCCTCGGCGTGCGCCAGGCTCTTGTGGAACATCTCAATGCCTGCAATGGGGCGCAGTGGGGCACGCTATGGGGCGGGATATGGGGGGCTATGGGGCGGGCTATGGGGGATATGGGGCGGGATATGGGTGCTATGGGGCGGGATATGGGGGGATATGGGGCGGGCTATGGGGTGGGATATGGGGGGATATGGGGCGGGCTATGGGGGATATGGGGCGGGATATGGGTGCTATGGGGCGGGATATGGGGGGCTATGGGGCAGGATATGGGGGGATATGGGGGTCTATGGGTGGGCTATGGGGGGGCTATGGGGGTCTATGGGGGGTATGGGGGGGTATGGGGTGGGCTATGGGGGGCTATGGGGGGCTATGGGTTCTATGGGGCGGGATATGGGGGGCTATGGGGCGGGATATGGGGGGCTATGGGGGGTCTATGGGTGCTATGGGGTGGGATATGGGGGGTATGGGGGGTGCTATGGGGCGGGATATGGGGGGCTATGGGGTGGGATATGGGGGGGTATGGGGTGGGATATGGGTGCTATGGGGTGGGATATGGGGGGTGCTATGGGTGCTATGGGGCGGGATATGGAGCGGGATATGGGTGCTATGGGGTGGGCTATGGGGGGCTATGGGGGGCTATGGGATGGGGTATGGGGGGCTATGGGTGCTATGGGGCGGGCTATGGGGGGCTATGGGGCGGGATATGGAGGCCTATGGGGGGCTATGGGGTGGGCTATGGGGGGCTATGGGGCGGGATATGGGGGGCTATGGGGGGCTATGGGGCGGGATATGGGGGGCTATGGGGGGCTATGGGTGCTATGGGGCGGGCTATGGGGGGATATGGGGCAGGCTATGGGGGGATATGGGGTGGGATATGGGGGGCTATGGGGCAGGCTATGGGGGGATATGGGGCGGGCTATGGGGGGATATGGGGGGGATATGGGTCTCTATGGGGCAGCTATGGGGGATATGGGGGGAGTAATGGGGGATATGGGGGGGTATGGGGGTCTATGGGGGGGATATGGGGGCTATGGGGGGGATATGGGGGCTATGGGGGGGATATGGGGTAATGGGGGGCTATGGGGGCTATGGGGGGGATATGGGGGGGATATGGGGGGATATGGGGATCTATGGGGTAATAGGGGGCTATGGGGATCTATGGGGGGCAATGGGGGGGATATGGGGTAATGGGGGGCTATGGGGGGGATATGGGGGCATATGGGGGGAATATGGGGGGGATGCAATGGGATCTATGGGGGGGATATGGGGGGCTATGGGGGGATATGGGGATCTATGGGGTAATAGGGGGTAATGGGGGGCTATGGGGGGGATATGGGGGGGATATGGGGTGGGATATGGGGGGGGAGGGGGTTATGGGGTGAGCTATGGGGGGTGTGGGGGGGGCTATGGGGGGCTATGGGGGGATATGGGGGGGCTATGGGGGGGATATGGGGGGTCTATGGGGGGATATGGGGGGGATATGGGGGGCTATGGGGGTCTATGGGGCTCCTATGGGGGTCTATGGGGGGATATGGGGGGTCTATGGGGGGATATGGGGGGGATATGGGGGTCTATGGGGGGGCTATGGGGGGTCTATGGGGGGCTATGGGGGGGCTATGGGGGGGCTATGGGGGGGCTATGGGGGTGCTATGGGGGGCGCTATGGGGGGCTATGGGGTGGGTTATGGGGGGCTATGGGGTGGGATATGGGTGCTAAGGGGGGCTATGGGGGGCTATGGGGTGGGATATGGGGGGCTATGGGGCGGGATATGGGGGGCTATGGGTGCTATGGGGCGGGCTATGGGGGGGCTATGGGTGCTATGGGGCGGGATATGGGGGGCTATGGGGGTGCTATGGGGCGGGCTGTGGGGCGGGCTATGGGGCAGGATATGGGGGGTATGGGGGGTGCTATGGGGCGGGCTATGGGGGGATATGGGTGCTATGGGGTGGGATATGAGGGGAATGGGGGGCTATGGGTGCTATGGGGGTGCTATGGGGGTCTATGGGTGCTATGGGGTGGGATATGGGGGGCTATGGGGGGATATGGGTGCTATGGGGCAGGATATGGGGGGTATGGGGGGTGCTATGGGGCGGGCTATGGGGGGATATGGGTGCTATGGGGCGGGATATGAGGGGGTATGGGGGGTGCTATGGGTGCTATGGGGCAGGATATGGGTGCTATGGGGCAGGCTATGGGGGGATATGGGGGGTGCTATGGGGGGGTATGGGGGGTCTATGGGGGGGTATGGGGGGTCTATGGGGGAATATGGGGGTCTATCGGGCAGCTATAGAGGGTCTAAGGGGGTCCTATGGGGGGCAATGGGGGTCTATGGGGGGGCTATGGGGGGCTATGGGGTCTATAGGGGGCTATGGGGGGAAATAGAGGGGCTATGGGGGTCTATGGGGGGCTATGGGGGGTTATAGGGGGTCTATAGGGGGACTATGGGGGGGATATAGGGGGTCTATGGGGGGGCTATGAGGGTTCTGGGGGGGCTATGCGGGGTGCTATGGGGGTCTATGGGGAGGCAATGGGGGGTTATAGGGGGTCTATGGAGGTCTATGGGGGCTATAGGGGGGTCTATGGGGGGCAATGGGGGGGTATGGGGGGTCTATGGGGGTCTCTATGGGTCCCCATGAGTCTCTATGTCTCTCTATGTGTCTCTGTGTGTCCCCATGGGTCCCCATGGGTTGCTGTGGGTCGCCGTGGGTCCCTATGGGTCCCTATGTGTCTCTATGGGTCCCTGTGGGTCACTGTGGGTCCCTATGGGGTCTCTATGTCTCCCTATGGGTCCCTGTGGGTCGCTGTGGGTCTCTATGTCTCTCTATGGGTCTCTATGACTATCTATGTCTCTCTATGGGTCTCTATAGTCTTTATGGGCCTCTATGGGTCTCTGTGGGTCTCTCTGTGGGTCTCTATGGGTCCCCGTGGGTCTCTATGTATCTCTATGTATCTCTATGTGTCCCCATGTCTCTCTATGGGTCTCTATGGGTCCCTATGTGTCTCTATGGGTCTCTATGGGTCCCTGTGGGTCTCTGTGGGTCTCTGTGGGTCTCTGTGGGTCTCTATGGGTCTCTATGGGTCCCTATGGGTCTCTATGGGTCTCTATGGGGTCTCTATGGGTCCCTATGGGTCCCCGTGGGTCCCCGTGGGTCTCTGTGGGTCTCTATGTGTCCCCATGTCTCTCTATGTCTCCCTATGGGTCCCCATGGGTCTCTATGAGGTCTCTATGGGTCTCTATGGGTCTCTATGTGTCCCCATGTCTCTCTATGTCTCCCTATGGGTCCCCATGGGTCTCTATGGGTCTCTATGGGTCTCTATGGGTCTCTATGGGGTCTCTATGGGTCCCTATGGGTCCCCGTGGGTCTCACCGGTGACCACGGAGCGCAGGTGCCGGCTGTAGCCCAGGATCTCGCACTCGTCCCCCTTGCGGATGGTGCCGCGCTCCAGCGTGCCCGTGACCACCGTGCCCCGGCCTGCGGGATGGGGGGACATGGGGGGCAGGGGGGAGATGGGGGAGATGGGGGGAGATGGGGGGCAGAGGGGGGGGGCAAATGGGGGGAGATGGGGGGAGATGGGGGGAGATGGGGGGAGATGGGGGGAGATGGGGGGAGATGGGGGGAGATGTGGGGAGATGGGGGGAGATGGGGGGAGATGTGGGGAGATGGGGGGAGATGGGGGGAGATGGGGGGGAGATGGGGGGAGATGGGGGAGATGGGGGGAGATGGGGGGGGGGGGGAGATGGGGGGAGATGGGGGGAGATGGGGGGAGATGGGGGGCAGGATGGGGGGAGATGGGGGGAGATGGGGGGGATGGGGGGAGATGGGGGGAGATGGGGGGAGATGGGGGGAGATGGGGGGAGATGGGGGGAGATGGGGGGAGATGGGGGGAGATGGGGGGAGATGGGGGGGAGATGGGGGGAGAGGGGGGGGGGGGGAGATGGGGATGTGGGGGAGATGGGGGGAGATGGGGGGAGATGGGGGGAGATGGGGGGAGATGGGGGGAGATGGGGGGAGATGGGGGGAGATGGGGATGTGCAGTGCTACCTGCGGGATGCGACACGCATCATGGCCAGCAGGTGTGGGGAGATGGGGGGAGATGGGGGGAGATGTGGGGAGATGGGGGGAGATGGGGGGAGATGGGGGGAGATGGGGGGATGGGGGGAGATGGGGGGGATGTGGGGGGAGATGGGGGGAGATGGGGGGAGATGGGGGGAGGGGGGAGATGGGGGGAGGGGGGCAGGGGGGATGTGGGGGGAGATGGGGGGACAGGGGGGAGATGGGGGGAGATGGGGTCAGGGGGACATGGGGGTCAGGGGGACATGGGGGGCAGGGGGTAGATGGGGGTCAGGGGTAGATGGGGGTCAGGGGGGGACATGGGGGGGACATGGGGGGAGATGGAGTTCAATGGAGCTCAATGGGTTTCAATGGGTCCCCAATGGGTCGCTATAGGTCTCTATGGGTCCCAATGGGTTTCAATGGGTCCCAATGGGTCCCAATGGGATTCAATGGGTCCCAATGGGGTCCCAATGGATTTCAATGGCTCCCCAATGGGTCGCTATGGGTCCCAATGGATTTCAATGGGTCCCAATGGGTTTCAATGGGTCCCAATGGGTCGCTATGGGGCGCTATGGGGCGCTATGGGGCAGTACCGGGGATGGAGTGCACGGCCTCCACGGGCAGCAGGAAGGGGCGCTCTGGGTCGCTCTGGGTCGCTCTGGGTCGCTATGGGGCGCTATGGGTCGCCATGGGGTGCTATGGGGCGCTATGGGTCGCTATGGGGCGCTATGGGGCGGTACCGGGGATGGAGTGCACGGCCTCCACGGGCAGCAGGAAGGGGCGCTCTGGGTGGCTATGGGACGCTATGGGGCGCTATGGGTCGCTATGGGTCGCTCTGGGACGCTATGGGTCGCTATGGGTCGCTATGGGTCGCTATGGGGCAGTACCGGGGATGGAGTGCACGGCCTCCACGGGCAGCAGGAAGGGGCGCTCTGGGTCGCTCTGGTTCGCTCTGGGTGGCTATGGGTCGCTATGGATCGCTCTGGGACGCTATGGGTCGCTATGGGGCGCTATGGGGCAGTACCGGGGATGGAGTGCACGGCCTCCACGGGCAGCAGGAAGGGGCGCTCTGGGTCGCTCTGGGTTGCTCTGGGTGGCTATGGGGCGCTATGGGTCGCTATGGGGCGCTATGGGTCGCTATGGGTCGCTATGGGGCGCTATGGGGCAGTACCGGGGATGGAGTGCACGGCCTCCACGGGCAGCAGGAAGGGGCGCTCTGGGTCGCTCCGGGATGCCATGTGTCGCTATGGGGCGCTATGGGTGGCTATGGGGCACTATGGGGCGCTATGGGGCGCTATGGGGCGGTACCGGGGATGGAGTGCACGGCCTCCACGGGCAGCAGGAAGGGGCGCTCTGGGTCGCTCTGGGTCGCTCCGGGACGCTCTGGGTCGCAATGGGGCGCTATGGGGCACTATGGGGCGCAATGGGGCGCTATGGGGCAGTACCGGGGATGGAGTGCACGGCCTCCACGGGCAGCAGGAAGGGGCGCTCTGGGTCGCTCTGGGTCGCTCTGGGTGGCTATGGGTCGCTATGGATCGCTCTGGGACGCTATGGGTCGCTATGGGTCGCTATAGGGCGCTATGGGGCGCTATGGGGCGGTACCGGGGATGGAGTGCACGGCCTCCACGGGCAGCAGGAAGGGGCGCTCCAGGTCGCGGGGGGGCAGCGGGATGTGGGTGTCGATGGCGTCCAAGAGCTTCAGCACCGACTGCAGGCCCAGCTCCGGGTCCCGGTCCTGGGGGGCAGGGAGAGAGCATCTGTGGGTCACTGGGGGGGGGGAGCTATGGGGGTTCTATGGGGGGGCTATGGGGGTCTATGGGGGGCTATGGGGGTCTATGGGGGGGCTATGGGGGTCTATGGGGGGCTATGGGGGTCTATGGGGGGGCTATGGGGGGGGGGTCTATGGGGGGGCTATGGGGGTCTATGGGGGGGCTATGGGGGTCTATGGGGGAGCAATAGGGGGCTATGGGGGGGTCTATGGGGGACTATGGGGGTGTCTAGGGGTCAGTAGGGGCTACCGGTGTGCTGTGGGGGTCTATGGGGGGGGTCTATGGGGGTCTATGGGGGGAGTTATAGGGTTCTATGGGGGGCTATGGGGCTCTATGGGTCTGTGGGGCTCTATGGGTTTCTATGGGGGTCTATGGGGTCTCTATGGGGGGTCTATGGGGGGATATGGGGGTCTATAGGGGGATCTATGGGGAGCTATGCGGGTTCTATGGGGGGATATGGGGGGTCTATGGGGGGCTATACGGGTTCTATGGGGGGTCTATGGGGGGCTATACGGGTTCTATGGGGGGCCTATGGGGGGCTATGCAGGGGCTATGGGGGGGCTATGGGGGGGCTATGGGGAATGCACAGGGGTCTATGAGGGTTGTATGGGGTCAATGGGGGGCTATGGGTGTGCTATGGGGGTCTATGGGGGCTATGGGGGAGCTATAGGGGGCTATGAGGGGTCTATGAGGGGTCTATGGGGGTCAATGGGGGGTGTCTAGGGGTCAGTGGGTGGCTATGGGTGTGCTGTGGGGGGCCATGGGTGGCTATAGGGGGCTATGGGGGAATATGGGGGTCTATGGGGGGCTATGCGGGTTCTATGGGAGGTCTATGGGGGTCTATGGCGGGCTATGGGGGGATATGGGGGGTCTATGGGGGGCTATACGGGTTCTATGGGGGGCCTATGGGGGGATATGGGGGGCTATGGGGGGATATGGGGGGGCTACGGGGGGCTATGGGGAATGCACAGGGGTCTATGGGGGGGGTACAGGGGTCAGTGGGTGGCTATGGGTGTGCTGTGGGGGTCCATGGGAGGGTCTATGGGGTGATATGGGGGGTCTATGGGGGGCTATGGGGGGCTATGGGGTGTCTATGGGGGGCTATGGGGGGGCTATGGGGTGTCTATGGGGGGATATGGGGGTCTATGGGGAGCTATGCAAGTTCTATGCGGGGCCTATGGGGGGCTATGGAGGGCTATGGGGGGGCTATGGGGAATGCACATAGGTCTATGGGGGGGTATAGGGGTCAATAGGGGGCTATGGGTGTGCTGTGGGGGTCTATGGGGGGCCTATGGGGGGTCTATGGGGGTTCTATGGGGGTCTATGGGGGGTCTATGGGAGGTCTATGGGGGGCTATGGGGGGAGTCTATGGGGTCTATGGGGGGATATGGGGGTCTATGGGGAGCTATGCGGGTTCTATGGGGGGATATGGGGGGTCTATGGGGGGCTATACGGGTTCTATGGGGGGCCTATGGGGGGATATGGGGGGCTATGGGGGGATATGGGGTGTCTATGGGGGCTAAGGGGAATGCACAGGGGTCTATGGGGGGGTATAGGGGTCAATGGGGGGCTATGGGTGTGCTATGGGGGTCTATGGGGGCTATGGGGGCCTATGGGGGGTCTATGGGGGGATATGGGGGGTCTATGGGGGGCTATGCGGGTTCTATGGGAGGTCTATGGGGGGCTATGGGGGGCTATGGGGGGCTATGGGGGGATTTGGGGGGTCTATGGGGGTCTATGCGGGGATATGGGGGTCTATGGGGAGCTATGCGGGTTCTATGGGGGGATATGGGGGGTCTATGGGGGGCTATGGGGGGTCTATGGGGGATATGGGGTGCTATGGGGGGATATGGGGGTTCTATGGGCAGCTATGCAGGTTCTATGGGGGGCCTATGGGGGGCTATGGGGGATATGGGGGGTCTATGGGGGCCTATGGGCAATGCACAGGGGTCTATGGGGGGGGTACAGGGGTCAATGGGGGGCTATGGGTGTGCTATGGGGGTCTATGGGGGCTATGGGGGAGCTATAGGGGGCTATGGGGGGTCTATGGGGGGCTCTATGTGGGGCTATGAGGGTCAATGGGGGGTGTCTAGGGGTCAGTGGGTGGCTATGGGTGTGCTGTGGGGGTCTATGGGAGGGTCTATGGGGTGATATGGGGGGTCTATGGGGGGCTATGGGGGGTCTATGGGGGGCTATGGGGGGTCTATGGGGGGTCTATGGGGGGCTATGGGGTGTCTATGGGGGGATATGAGGGTCTAAGGGGAGCTATGCTAGTTCTATGCGGGGCCTATGGGGGGCTATGGAGGGCTATGGGGGGGCTATGGGGAATGCACATGGGTCTATGGGGGGGTATAGGGGTCAATAGGGGGCTATGGGTGTGCTATGGGGGTCTATGGGGGGCCTATGGGGGGTTTATGCGGGGGCTATGGGGGTCTATGTAGGTCTATGGGGGGCCTATGGGGTGTCTATGGGGGGGTATGGGGGGTCTATGGGGGGCTATGGGGGGTGTACAGGGGTCTAGGGGGGGATATAGGGGTCAATGGGGGGCTATGGGCGTGCTCTGGTGGTCTATGGGGG